CATGGTGAATATTCAAGCCTAGCCTCCGTGCTTCATCCTCCGTGATGAAATTATGTGTGGCTTCGGTATCAACTAATGCCTGTGTTTGCCGTCCATTGATTTTGGCAAGTACGAACATCAATCTTTTCTCTCCGTTCGCCCTCGGAATGATTTTGGCATTCAAAGCATTGAAAAGTTGCAATGAACCCATATGACTTGCACCTTCCTTTTTGCCATGGGAAGCCTCCGGTTGAGTCTCTGTAATAGATGCCAAGGATCCAAGTTTAGGGCAATCTCGCATGAGATGTGGCCCTTTGCAAATGAAGCAACTATGAGGAGCAAAATTACCCCTCTTTTTATAATCATACTCCTTCCACCAAGTAGTTGGTTTATTGCCACCGGGTTTGTAATCAACTTTTGGATTGGGCCTTCAATTCGACTTACTTCGTTGTTTGTCTTTTTGCACATCATCTCTGCCTTTGCCAAAATTCCCTTTAGTTGGTTTGAAAGTCCTTGCTTGTGACTCCGAACTCCTTTGGAACTCCGTTAAAGATTTGGCAACCGCAATTGCCTCATCTACATTTTTAACCCCACGACGTTGTAATTCTTGTCGCACCCATGTTGTACATCCATCCATGAAATATAATAGTAAGACATTCTCCGACATGCTTGGGATTTGAAGCATAAGGGTCGTGAACTCTTTGACATAGTCACAAATGCTCCATTTTTGTTTTAATTCCCTTAGTTTCTTGCGGGCCTCGTACACAACGTTCTCAGGGTAAAATTACCTTTTTAGCTCCCTTTTGAACTCGTCCCAAGTATCAATTCTGCAAGCTCTATTATCAACATTGGCATGCTTACGACACTACCAAAGAGATGCGGTGTCAGTAAGATACATAGAAGCGGTCTGGACTTTCATGGCTTCATCAACAAGATTTACGCCTTCAAAGTAGACTTCCATTTGCCATAGGAAGTTTTCCACATCTTTGGCATCCCGTCGCCCATCATAATGTTTAGGCTTCGGGTCTTCAAACCTCGGGGCAACAATAGTTGAAGCGGCACCTCGCTTATACCAGCAGTGGATTGCTTGTATTGATCAATCTCTTTGCTCATTTTTTCCATCATCACGGCCAATTGGTTAACTTGGTCATGCATGGTGAAAACGACATCCAAGACTTTGGTTCGGAGATGACCAAAATCATTCGTCATCGCGGCTTGTCCGGCTGTCACAACTCGAACATCATCTTTCATCGTTTGGACATCATTTTCCAACGATACTTATGTGTCCATCACCTCTTGGACATTAATTTGTAGAGTTTCTAACTTTTCGATGGCGTGTCTCTCCAACGCCTCGAAGGAGCTTTCAAGGTATTCGACCCGATCACCCATATTTGCGATGATTTGCTCAAGTTTACCCTCCATATTCGTGGCTTCCCTCGTCTTACTTTTGCCTCGAGTTTTCCTTACTTCAGCTTGGGCAGCACCTCGACCTCTCTCCTCAATCTCAATATCAACAGTTTGTTAAGAATCCGCCATTATAACGGCCTACAAACGAGGCTCTGATACCACTTGTCACGGACTTAGTTTTGATACACCCGAACAACTAGAACCGTACGACCTTAACGTTCGATAATTCCAGTCCCTCACGAGAAAACGTTAAGTCAACCTTTCCACGCTCACAAATAATTTAACCAATGAGGTTAAATTATAACTACTTTGAGAAAAGAATTTTAGAGTAAGAAATATATGAAAAATAAGTAAGGTTGGGGAAACTTTTTTTGTATAAATGAATGGAAAAACTTTACAATCTCTCTAATGAATAAACTCACTTCACTCTACATGATTTACAAATGAGACTTCCATATCTATTTATAGGCAAAAATCTTGCAAGTTGCTTTCAAATCAATGGTCACGATTTATTTGATCCAAGGGCTCTCATTTGATGCAAGTTGATTTCTTTTGACAAGTTGCGTTCCACTTTACAACTCATGCTTAGTTGTCATCAAGTGGACATTCTCTACCATTTTTCTTGCAAGTAGATACAACTCGTGCTTAGCTTGTTTCTTGATATTATCCTTGCCAATTCGATCTTAGCTTGCATCTTGACAATATCTTGCAAGTGGCCAAGTGACACAAGTGGACAAGTTGTGCAAGTTACCCACTTGCATCCCCAAAATATCCGGCTGCAGATTCATGTATTTTTCCTTTCAAAATGACTAGTTCGGGACTTAGAAAAACCTCATTAATGCGACTATGTGGGGGCATAAGTCACTGTTCATATTCTTGAACTTATTATAATCTCAAGATGTTGATTATACTGTTTGTTTAAACAGACCCGGCACATCTAGAAAATGGCCTGGCCTGGCCATTGTATTATAGTTGCTACATATAATATAAGTCAAATCCTGAACGTAGCAGTTGTAGAAGAGAGTACAGTGATTATTTCCATGGTATAGTTTCAAGCGCAATAAGGTTTTGTTCACTTTATCTGGAACAGATTGAGTTATAATGTTAAAAACGTGTATGGAAAAGCATTGGACAGACCACTAGCTTTGTTCTTGATAGAACCACTGATGGGAATTAGTTTCTTATACCAGTTTTAGTCATCTCTTTGTTACAGTCTAACCTATTCAAATGATGTATATTTTGCCACTTACTAACAATATCTTTCTTCAAGTACCTCTCTATTAATTGACATATAACGAGTGTAGGCTTATCGTTCAACAAAAGACATGATTTTATCGTACAATGCTGCTCAAGGAGAATCTTATTCCATTTTATCAAATGTGTGCTGGCTCGACGATTCTGATCATTTTTTCATTTATACATATGCAGCCCATGGAGAACCCAATTCCTGTAACAAAGAAGCGAGGACCACCGAGAGTTCCTTGGAAGGTCAGTTTCATGAGCTTCGCAGCCAGAATCTGGGAAAATTGTTGTTTAATCTTCTTAGTTAAATGCTGTTGATGAAGGAATTCTGGGTTTATTCTGTGAACTATAGCTTCTCCACTCGGAGAAGGGACTGCTGAAGTTTGGCTAATGGATCATATTATGATAATTATGAATAATTCGTTGCATTGATTTACCTATGTTTGGTAGGGATTAAAATCAAATTTTTAGTAGAATTTGATAAAAGTTGTTGAAATGTATTGTTGAAAAGTCGTGGATCACATAAAGAGCCTGTTTGGAAGTAATTTTGAGAATTGATTTTTTGATCTTAGGAGAAAAGTATGATCCACTTGTGACAGAAGAAGTCAAATATGACGACTGAAATAGTGAAATAACAGTCAAAAAATCAATTTTTTGGGGTAAAAAATACTATCAAATAGGCTGAAAATGTGTGGTTAAAATTACTTGGAGCTTGTTTGGTAGTGATTTTTTGATCGTTAAAAGAAAAGTGAGGTCCATCTGTAAGAGAAGAAGTCAAATATAATGGCTGAAATAGTAAAATAACGGTCAAAAAATCAATTTTTTTGGGGGAAAAAATCAATCCCAAACAGGTTCTTGTTGACTTTGATTTAGATTAAAATCTGGAATTTAATTTATACCGAGCATTGGTCGAGCAAGTTTGGCTAAGCCAAAAGTTCACTTATAAGTAAATGAGCGAGTTTTAAAATAAGTGATTTTTTTATTGGTGAAGAGCGGACAATAAGTTATTTTAAATTAAGGGTGTGTTTGTCACCCATTATTTGGGAAGAATCTATTATGGAATAGTGATTATGTTGAAATGTGTGGTTAAAAAAGAATAAATTTTTTTATTTATGTGTAATATTATTTTAATGAAGAATGTGTGGTTGAAAATGAGTACTGCAGGAAAAATAATAGGAAAGAATGGAAGAAAATGAATGACAAACAGGGACTAATGTGTTTTACTCGAGCAAAAGCAATTTATCTAAAAAGTATAAGTTGATTTCGTAAGGTATTTTAAGTTCTAGGCTGTACCTATGTCGTAATTAGATAAAAGTTATTTTTAGTGTAGACTGTAAAAAATATTGAACCGATTCTCCTTGTCTTAATTGTTAAAGATTGTTGTCATAAGTCAAAGGATCCAAGAATTGGTATCACCGTTAAACTACCGTCCCTCTCAAAATAATAATAATAATGATGATGATGATGATGATGATGATGATGATGATGATAATTAGGTTGTTCCAATAAATTTGCTATTTGAATTTAGCTGTTAAATAAGTTTTTTTTTGTTCATTAATTAGGGGTGGACATAATTCTATTTGGTTTTCGTTCCAAGAGATCCGAACCAAACTGAACCATGAATCAATAGTTTTTTTTAATGGAACCGAATGAATTTTTTTTTTATTTGTTTAAAATATGGAACCAGACCAGAACTGAATCATTATGTTCTAGTTTGGTTCTAGTTATATTGTCAATTGAGAAAAAAGAGAGAACATTCGAGGAAGAATCGATGGTAGATGGTCGGCAGTAGTTATTGGTCTCCATGTGAAAGTCGGTGTATAAATTAAGAAGAAGTGAAAAAGAGAAATGAATTAAAGTTTGGGTCTCCAAAATGAATTAGGGTATCCAGTCTGTATATTGAGAAATGAGAAATCGAAAGTACATTGACATTTTTGTCCCAAATTTCAATTGAAAACTTTAAATTTTTTGGTATGAATTATAATCCACTAATTTGTAAAATATATATATGAAAAATAATAAAATTTAAATATTGAATTTGGTTTTAGAATTAAAATTGAATTAGAATCAAAACCAAATGGTTATCAGATCTAAGAAACAAAACCTTAAATTTTTTTTGTAAAGCCGAACCGGACCGCTCAGTCTGGTGTGGTTTTGGTTTGGTCTGATTTGAATGTTTGATAAAATAAAAAAGCTTTTTTTTAAACAATATATATTTTAACATCACCGATACCTCACAAAAAGTTAAAATATTAAATATATCTAAGCACTAAAAGAGTCGATAACTTCAATAAAAATAAAATTTGCAATCAATTAAGTGATGAATACAAACTTCACAAGAGCACATAGTAATGCATAAGCAAGACGGGGCAAATACTGAAAAAATCCATAAAAAGACATTGACAATAACCCGAATGCTGGTTAAGAAGAATTTGTACAACGAGAAAGGCTTTGTCTCAAATCATAGTCGAGTTCTACATCATCATTAAAAAGGTACTCGATTCTAACGAAGAAAAGGAGCAAATTATCCAAAAGATAAAAATACAAGCATATTCGTTAACTCTCTGTCTTGACATTTTGTAGAGACTCTATTCACAAGCCAATTTGGTGTCAAAACTGCTTAAGCAGATGGCAAAAGCCTGAAAAGCAGACAGGGGATATCGATAATCCATGGTGAACATATCGTTATTGACCTTGCCAAACTGGAGAATGATTTTATCATGGTCCGACTGTGCTGGCTGAGATGTTGGTGGTGCATTAGCAACTGGCTGTGTAGCAGCAACCAACTGAAAATTCTTGACCGATGCAACGGTCACCCGTCCTCTAAAATTGAGGCACCAGCATTGTAACTGTTCGTGCCATCTGGGTGCCTTGTTCTTGAGAACCAAGGGTCTCATTTTACCATCATCGTCATCGTTGGATAACCCCACAATATCAGAAAATCGAGAGCTGCTGAACTCAGTTGAGTGATCAAGAGATTTTGAGAAAGAGATGCTCCGAAATGAGTCCTCGAGAGGCCTTGGAAGAAGCTCTTGCTGTCCAGGCACTACACCGCCGGGCTCGAGGGCCGACATGGGAATTGAGTGCATGACGCAGTGCATCCTGCGTGGACCTCGTGTCCCAAGCACATTCAGCTCATATTTAATTTGAGCTATGTTGTAGTTCCCACTTGGTACTTTGGGAGATACTTTCTTGGAATTGAATCGACGGCTTGTTCTACCAGGTGGAGAGGTTTGTAAACAAGCATGTGGAGGCTGTGTGTCATATATTATAAATTTCGTACCGAGAAAATTCGATCTGCAAGGAGGAGGAAGATTTTAATATTAATAATCGAGAAATCACACATTATAACTGTGTACAATCAAGGATATCTACTGTCATATGAATGAAAAATGCAAGCTAGCATAAGGATTAATGAATTTTTTTTTTGGGGGGGGGGGGGGGGGGGCACCATTCTCTAGGAAGTCTTGAATCCACTATATTCAATCAAGATAAGAACCAATGAAAAAGTATCCCAACCACAACTGCGATAATATGATAATGTTTGAATAACTCGTGAACATTCGAATACCAGAAGAAAAGCCTAACCAAAGATTTTCTAGAAAGAATGGCAGCTTGTAAACTAAACCTTCCTTGATAAAATAAGACAGCATTCAAGAAATAACAATGTGAATTGCAAAAAAGAATAACATGCAAAGGTAAGATGCACAAGAGTTAATGAACTATCAAAAATCACCTTAGTTTTCCAATATATGTGCTGCTGGATCTTGAAATGTTATCTGCATCCATTGAGATCACATACTCTGTACAAGTAGTCCTGCGAGTTCTTTTTGCAGAGAGAAGGAACTTCCCATTTTCCACTAGCAAAGCTGATAAAATTTTATTGAAACTTACATGAGAACGATCAACAGCAATAAATACTCAAGGGGGAAAACTGTAAAGACTATATTTATCTGACATAAAATAAAAAAAGTAAAAAATAAAAAATCAATATGTCCTACTAGAATCTGCTCAATTCTATATGCTGTTCATCATAACTGTCTACGCAGTCAAATATGCCGTTTAAATGATTCCACTGATTACATATTTGACCTATATTTCATAACTACTTATACATGGCACATACAATTGAAGTGCATATTTCTTCCAACGACATGGAATCACTCTTTGCCAGATTTGTATTGTTGTTGGAATTTTAAATGTAATTTTGTTAACTCTTATAATATGAAAACTAAGTTAAGGGAAGATGAGAACTTCAACAGTATTCAATAAATCTAGCTGCATTTTAAAGTCAAAAGAAAAGGCTTAAAACCTCTCATATCCTATAATGCTCGGACTCCGGTATGGATGTCGGGTACAGGTATGTATCCAAGTATCGGATTTTTTATTTTCTAAAATGTAGAATAAGGGAACATGTCTAAAAAGAGTCCAAATTTTAGACACGGGTACGTGGGTAGGTACGTCTTTTAAGCTTCAATTTTTTTTTTTTATTAATCCAAGATGTCATTTTGAATAAATCAAAATTAATTGTTCATAAATAAAGAAATGAGTATTGAATAATGGGTTAAGACGAATAAAATGAAATTTTAAGGTTTAATTTTCAATTATGAAAAATTAATTACTGAATGTTATATAAAATTGAAATGAGGGACTGGATGGTAATTTGGACTTAGTGAAACACTAAATAAAACTATATAAAACCCATTTTCATTTTATACAGATAAATCTCTAGACCACTGATAAAGAGAGAAATAAAAAAGAAAGAAGAAGAAGGGAAAACTTAACACCGTCGCCTTTCTCTACCCTCTCGGAGGCAGCGTTAGGTTTATAAAGAGTAGAAACGAGAAAGAAAAGGAAAAGAAAAGAAGAAAGAAGAAAGAAGAAAGAAGAAAAATGAAGAAGAAGAAGAAGAAGCAAAAACAACGAAGTGTTCGATTGTAACTTGAACGATCCGACAAATATCCCATATCCACACCCATGTCGTGTCGGACATGAGATGGGTACTCTAACCATTTCGAAGAGTCCGAGCATCAGAGCTCATATCTCATGAAGTACACATACTTGTAAACTTACTAAGAAAGAAAGTTTTACGCTAATTTAAAGATCTTCTTGGTGCACATTGCTGATTAGGTACCATAAAAAATTGAAAAGACAAGCCCATAAAATTTGAAAAGACAAGCCTATAAAATAGCAAAGTAGAAACCAAAAAGGTCTATATGATACTTACCAGGACTAAGACACAAGAAAAGACGGTATGTTAAATTAGATTTATCCCTCTTTATGAAGCACTGAATAGTTCCATCACGCGGGCCTGGCTGTAAAGGTAAATAACATAGATTCAGTACACCCTTTTTTCAAATAGTAGTTAATGTGCTATTTATAGTGTCAGTGAAAATGTAATATTGTAAGAAGTGAATGATCATAAAAGACAAAAATGTAAATTCAATTGCATGCAATACATAGGCATGACAGAAGTGGGAAGTCACCTGCTTTAATGAAACCGGAAAGGTGAGCTTCCCACAAAATTCTGGACATTTAACAATTTCCATACACATGCTCCTCCATGACCTACAAACGGCAGCGCAAGAAACTACATGCTTCCGAGCAGGCCATTCACTCTCACTTTCTTCCAACCTTCTAATTACATCAAAAAGAAGTTCTGGTGGGAGATTAGCCCATCGACTATTCTGAAGCATCAAAGGCTCATTCAAGTAGTGAAATGAACCATGTGATTTTCCTCTATGATGACCAGGCAGCCTTACGCTAAAACTTCGCTGGGATAAGCTCCCTATACTATCTCTTATATCTCGAGCTATACTGCGGAATGACATTTTGTTCCAAAGCTGTCAAATAGCAAATAAAATGGAGTTAAATATAGCTCATTTTCGATTTTCAATCTGAATAATCGTTTTCTACTAAATTATATTCCACGTGATATGTGAATTTGACTGTGAATGAGCAAAAGCTAATTAAATTTCGGCAACTACAACCCATCCAAAAAGAAAAGAGAAAAGGAATAAAGGATAAAGGAGAAAAGGACATTTACAGGTAACAGATAAGGAAAGGAATTAAAAGAAAAATGAAGGCTGATGTGAATAGAAAAAGACATTTCCATATGGACCTTAAAGTAGATTGAATCATAAAACTTTTAAAACATACAACTTTTCTAGGTTCGAATATAGCAAAATAACCACACAAATGTCAACAGCACATGGAACTATGATACTGATCTTCATTTCAGTTTAAGGCACCCTTGTATAAAGCTAAATCTAAGAAACACAAACATAATGTTAGGGGTTTCAAATAATATTCTGGACTCATGGTTTTAAGGTGTAGATATGAGGTATAATCTATTAGTCGACCCTATTAACAAAGAAAAATAATCTGAGATTTTGTTCATCCGACTATCCCATGTCATCTAATATTAGGTATCAAACATTTAGTCATAGAGTAAACAAATGCAGCAAATTTATAATCATACAGAAAACAATCTTAAATGTTACCCCCAAGAAAGAAGTAACCTGCTAAACTAGAAGGGCTTAAAAAATTCAAGCTTCCATCTTCTTTGGCAATCTACAAAAACGGATAAAATAACATAAATTTAGCTCAAATATCACAATTATAAACCCAGAAAACTTCAACTCTTAAAATAATTTCTCTCCAAAATCAAGTCTTGAGCATAACCCTCAACAGAATACAGAAGAAAAAGTAGATTAAAAAGCAGAAGAGGAAAAATGAAGAAAAAGCAGACCCAGAGAACTAAAAAAACAACTGAAATCCCCAAGAATTTGACCTATGTTGGGGAAATAATAAAGGAAAAAACAAATGAGAATGAAGGTTTGACCAACTACACAAAAACATCTGAATCGTGAACAATTAGAAGGTGAACAAAATGAGATCAGAGATCTATATCTCGGAAAAACAAATTCTTGAGAAAGCCCAAGTCTACAGCATGTAGATACAAATATATGTGTTCCATATCAAACCCAAGAATTAAGAGAACATTACAAACAGATATAAGCAAATCAAGAGGAAAAAATATAGACATCACCTACTCTTCACGCACTAAAAATCACAGCAAGGGTATCTTCTGGGTTGAAAGATTGGATTAAATCTAGTTCTTCAAAACAGAGAGAAGAATCAGAAGAAAAAGGAAATAAAAATTATTGTAAAAAAGTCTATGTATGAATACTTTATTGCTGTACGGTTACTGGGTTGAATAATGGGGCTAATATATTGGCCACTACATCACCATGAACCAGGCTGCGAAGCAACTACCAAATATTGAATTTTGACTCTTTGCATTTTGATTATTTATGGCATTTTCTTTTTCTTTTTCATCTGCATTTTTATTTTGAGTTGTTCACTGGAGTTTGATGGCTAAACTATTTTTACAATAGATTTCACTTTGTTCTGAGTTCGATGAACAAATTTAAAACACTAAAAAATCAGTTTCCCCGTTTCCTATTTTTGGGAAAAATGCATTATGAAATAGTAACTTTTTTGGAGAATGTATAGTTAGAAAGTAACGAACATTTTTTAAAATACGTATATAATTATTTTATAGAAGAACGTGTAGTTAAAAATGAGTTTTGAAAAAATACATTTTTAAAAAAATTGGGTTCAAACAAAGGCCTGTCTCCCTTTGAAATAAAAAAAAAAATTTTCTACCACAAAATTACATAATAAAATATTTGTATATAAATTCAAATTTTTTTTACTTTTTAACCATTCATTTGTCCAAAAAAAAAAAAACACTATTCAATACATTTTTTTTTTTCAATAATGGCCTCATAGGGGCTAAGGGATTGTTTTAAAAAAAATTTGATAAATATTTTAGCAAATTTTGATAAAAATTAATAAAATGTGTGATTGAAAAGTTGATAAAAATTCTGATCCTATGAAATATGGTTAAAATTTATTTTTGACTTTGACTCCAACTTTTTGAGCTTTCTAAAACAAGACTTAGCCCTCATTTGGTTCTTATTTTTTTGGCCAAAAAATCAAAATTTTCATTGTTATTTAACATGATCAACCGTCATTTTTTACTTCTTCACTCACAGGTAAAATTTACTTTTCTCTTTAATGGTGAAAAAATTGATTCTAAGAATCAATACCAAATATAGTCTTAATAGTCCATGTTAAATTTCAAAGTTTACAAGTGTTTTGAGAATTGTGTACATAATTATCCTATTTTAAAAATTTTGAATTGAGTTAAATGATGTGAACGAGCAATGTTTACTCATGTCTATAAATTATTTATAAATATATTCAAACTATTTTTATTTATACTTTTTCGAATGATTCACAAATATTATTCATTTATTCATCATTTTATTTATAATATAAACTATTCATAAACACTTCTCAAACATTCTTGGAATTAAATAAAAGTTTTTTAAAAAATATATATATCTATTTTTTGATCAAAGCTACTTTTTCATTTAGAGTATTAATTCATTATACTATCTATCGATTGATAGTTTCGGGAGAAAGAAAAGGATTGGTGAAAGCGTGTTTGATGTAAATTTTTTGAGAAGATGTGTTTTAAAAAGTAATCTTTTGTAGAATATGTGATTAAAAAGTATGAAAAAATTAATGTATTACATGTAATATTATTTTATTGAAATAATGTGTGATTAAATTATTTTTTTTTTTTGAGAAAATAAATTTTAAAAAACTTTTACAAAACAGGGTTATCCGTGCCGTTACAAATTTTAAAATTTGCATCAATCTACGTTATTACTATAATAGCCTAAAGGAGACACGTACCTGAAACAGATAATGTAGATTAAATAATTTCCTTTCTATATTATTTAAGAATAGAAAAAAATCCTCTAGTTTATCTTGAGTCTGTTTTGGAGTGATTTTGAAAATTGATTTTTTGACCATTAGGAGAAAAGTGGGGTCCACCTGTGAGAGAAGAAATCAAATATGACGGTTTGAATAGTAAAATAACGGTAAAAAAATCAATTTTTTTGGTGAAAAAATGGGACTCAAATAGTTTTTGAAATACCGGTCAAAAAGTCACTTGTCATTTTTACGATATTGTTATAAAGTAAAATCTTTTAAGAAATAATAATATAACTTTTAAAATAAATTCCATCACTAATTTCAACTAGTGACGATTGCCATGAACGTTGTCCTAGAAAACATGTACAATAAAGTCTTTGCCAATCCTTATCAATATAATGCGTCCCTTAACATCTGTTTGATAATCATTATTCGGAAAAACGAGTTTTAAATAATGATTTTTAGAAGAATGTGAAAGGTAAGAAAATTTTTAGATTTACGTACAAAATATTTTATTGTGTAAATGTGTGGTTCAAAATGAATATGTAAAAAATTAATTTTATACGTAAATTGAAATTTTTTTTCAACCATACGATTTTCTATAAAATAATATTATACGTAAACTGAAAATTTTTCCTTCTTTTTCAACCATTTATTTTTTTAAAAAAAATACTATTCCACCTATTTTCATTTTCACAAAATGGAGGTCAAATAAGGGCTGAGGATGAATGCGTTTCTCTAAGACCAGCTTTCAAGCTAAGGCCTAATAAAGAAAAGAAAATGATAATATTAGTGAACATCAAATACTCAATAGTATACTAGTTAAATATGGAAAAAACTCTTTTAGTTTACTTCATCATTTTTACGAAATTATTATAAAGTAAAATCTTTTTAAAAATAATTTATATGCCTTTTAAATAAATTCTATCAATAATCTCCTCGAGAGGAACTAGTGATAATTGCAATGAATACTGTCCTCGAGGACATGTACAAGATGGTTTTTGTCGATTCCTATCAACACGATGCATCTCTTAATAGAGGGATGCAAAACAGTTATGGAGACTGACCAAATGAAAAAGAATCATGTGATGGATATTTTGATTGAGGAAGAGAATCCATGATGAATACTTTTTTTCTAAGACCAACTGACGCTAATGCATAATAAAGAAAAGGAAAGAATAATATCATGCACATTAAATACTCGATACAGTATTTCCAAATTTATTTTGTTCATGTAATTTAAATTTTCTATTTTTTTTTAAATTCTTATTGCAGTTTCGAAGTTACTTTTATAAAAAGTAAATTTTGCCGACAAAAAAGATGATCTTGAAAATTTAAAATCTTGTTTAGCAAATAAGTAATAGAAAAGTATGTTTGACTTGAAGAAACAAGAAAACTTTGGTAATCTGGACATGTGCTAGATATATATATTTTTGGAAGGCTAAAGTGACGTAATTTTATTTTATTTTTATTTATCCTAAACATTTATATTTCTACAGCCCAAGAAAAAAAAAATTTAAAGTAAGAATCTTATCTTATAATAAATATTCTTACAACATCCCCTCCAAACACAGCATTACACTTTAAGTTTATGTCACTATTTATTATTTATAGATGTAGTAGGCCAACTACTCTACTCTTGACTTTATACATGTGAAATTCGCCAAACGTGATCGACCCCGGTACTAAGGTATAGAGACAGTTCCAAAAAGGGATATTTGTCTAAGACTTAAAATTGTCTAAAGTTTATGGGTCGAGTCGTAACTAGTCCCTCCTAGTTTAAAGTTTGCAAAATAACATTCTTACACAGATTGACAAGTATGACTTTTCTATATTCGGGGGGTCTTTAAACTTTATTTTTCCTTCTTCATATTGTACAGGAGATTTTCTTCATTTACTGATTTTGTCTATTGTACTTTTGATTGGATGTGAGGTTTACGTCTCCTCCATATTCTTTCGTGTTTCATTTATATCATGGTAGGATATGAAAAACACATCAAAGTTGTGATGGTGCTTTATTAAAAAAAATGTTCTGCAAAGCATGTGCAAAGTTAATACATGAAGTTTTTTGCATACCACATCTTGCAATAGAGTGATCGAATACCCCATAGGTAGTACATTTCGCTGGTATCCACTTCAATTCAGATTTGATAGTGATCCATTCCAACACACCACTTTA